AAGTCCATCTTGCTGCCATGGAAACGTAAAAAAAATAAATAAATTCTAAATAGCAAAAGGCACCAGTTCAGCATGTACCTGACAAACCTGCAAAGTTTGATGAAAAAATATTGAACGGTTTATGAGTTATGCTCCGGAAACGAAAACGTGACGGACGGACGGAGCCCGTTTCTATATCCCCCGCCAACTTTGAATTTGGAATTCCGCTTTCACTTTGTTGCTTCTGGTCTGACTTTAACCCATCAGGTTTAATTCTTTGGTACAGAGACATTGCAGAAGAGGAGAGTCAACAAGCTGCGGAGATCATCGGGGAGGTGACAGAAGATTTAGAAGTTTGTCCTCTACCAGACGCACCTCCTGAAATTAGGTTTGTTCTTTTCTATTTATTTTTAGTATGCACATGTAAAGCTTGTGTTGAATAGTGGGAGATATGTTCTGATGGAAATAAGATTATTTTGAAAATATTCCATTGTACAATGTATATGCAACTATTGTATATCATTTATAAAGAACAAGACACTTTTCCATAGGTTCAATATTTCTGTGGGACATTGAAGATCAATCCATCAGATGGGACTGCAGAATAAGTGGTTCCATGAGAGAAATTGTTTTAGCACATAAAAGAACCTATATTAATTCGGGTTGGTTCATTGCATTGGTAAAATGTGTTTGCAGCTTAAAGTTACTCAGTTAAATTCCTCCACCAAAGAAGTTAAACAATAACTGATCTGGAAGAAACATTTTGACAATACATGGAAACAATTTGGAATTCACTTTTATTTATTCAGATTATTGGTGTCATCCTATTCCTCTACTGTACCAGTAGTTGATGCTGGTTCTGATGATGAAAGTTGACATTCTGAGCAGACTCCTCAAGCATCTAAAATCGAAAGTCCACCAGTCTCATCTTCAAACAGGTGAGAATTTTGAAAAAATTCAAACACAAACAATAGTTTTATTTGATAAAGTCACTGTATCTGCATTGTCTCAGCCCAGCCAGCTGTATATAGCCATTGACTTTGACTGCAGGTTAACCTGCGATGATGCACTGGTGTAACATCCGGGGGGGGGGGGACCTTATCCCATAGCACCAAGGAAACCGGGTATAATCACAGACCTTATAGCAGCTTTAGCTATGAAAGGATTTAACTTTTAAAATGTACTTGCTGTATTTTATTCATATACTGATGGAAAAAAATAAGGGATCGCAGTGTGTTTGGTCAATGAGTCCGAATGTTATTTTTTTGTGGCCGTTTTTCGGAAGTACATGGTCAACATCTCCAAAACGCAGGGTATCACCTATAGAAAGACATGTAGTGCACGTGTTTCAGTAGTTTTTCATGGCACAATGGGGTATTCTACTGTAAGACCGATCTCATTGACATCAACTGCGTGAAACATGCCAAGACAGTACATGGGTTTGAAGGAGAAATGGCAGGCAATCGGGATGGTGAGGTCAGGCCAGTCACTGCGAGAAGTTGCAAGACACTTTCATAAGTCCATCAGTGTCCTCTCACGGCTGTGGAACCCTCTGCAGGCAGACCGGCGATGTTGTCACTAGACGTGGGCGACCAAAGAAAACTACAGCTCGTCAAGATCGTTAGATTCGGCTGATTTGTTTGAGGGATCGCTTTAAACCTGCCCAAAAAGTGAATACCGAGTTCAGAGCTGTCACACATCTACGGTTAAGTGATCGCACAGTACGTAACAGGCTGCGTTCAGCGGGTCTACAAAGTCGCCGTCCCGTGGTAGGAATCAGGATGACTCAAGAACACAAACGGCGAAGGTTACAGTGGGCAAGGCAGCATGGAGCCAGACAGCTGCGTCGTTGGCGATACACCATGTTCAGCGATGAGTCTCGTTTCAATATGGACAATGCAGATGGTCGGATACGTGTTTGGAGACGACGTAATGAACGATACCAAGCATGCACTGTCAAACAGCATGACAGATACGGAGGTGGATCAGTGATGGTCTGGGGTGGAATCACCTACGACAACCGAACAGATTTGATTCGTGTGGATGGTCGTCTAACTGGTGTTCGTTACCGTGACGAAGTGTTACGCCCAGTGGTGCTTCCGTTCGCTAACAGAGTTGGGCGGTTGTTCGAGTTTCAGCAGGACAATGCAAGGCCACATACTGCTCGTGTTTCAGCGGATGTTTTTAGGCAGAACCAGGTCGCTGTGCTTCCATGGCCGGCTAAAAGTCCAGACGTTAACCCGATAGAACATTTATGGGACGTTCTTGGTCGTCGGGTGCGAGATCGCATTAATCAACCTCGTAATCTGGACGAAACGTTTGACTGTTTAAGACAAAGAGTTGCATAATGTTCCAAGGGCTACAATCCGGGCATTAATTCGGAGTATGCCAAGACGTTGTCAGGCTGTTGTGAGAGCTCGTGGTGGTCACACGTCAAACTGAAGAACTGAGATTAAGTCATTATTTACCATGTAGCTTTCATTTGATCAAGTGTTGTATTAAAATCTTATGTATGCGCCATCAATGCGATTTTTTATTTTATTCCATCAGTGTATTTTTGATTTGGTATGTCAGACATGAAAATTTATTGATGTGTATCAAAGTTTTCTGTTTATGTGTTTCAGTGTAGACACGCCGTCAAATCCAGCCAGCCTTGTTGCCGAATTAAAACAAATTCCTCAGGCCCCACACGAACACCCAGGCAAGAAGAAGATCTTAACATCTGAGAAGCGTGTGAGACTTGCATCAAGATTTACATGCAAGACCAGTGGAAGTGGTGATGAGGTGAGGTGAAACGGGGTTAACGTCGCGTCCAAGATTATTGCACTAATATAGCGACGTGCATGTACGTGTGTGTGTTTGTGTGGCTGCGAATCCAAGAGTATTGCACTTATATAGCGACGTGCATGTACGTGTGTGTTATTGTGTGGCAGCTTGTACTAGTCCGGACTGATGCCGATTTATAGTGCTAGCTCACTGAGATACAGTGCCGCAGTTTAACATGAATATCCCACTCAGACACAGTTTACTGTCTCCTTGCCGACCAGTCCTTGTTTTAGCCCCTTAATGCCGAGCGCCAGACAGGGTAACAACAAGTACCATTTTTAACGTCTTTTCGACCAGAAGTGGAATGTCTTGTGCACTTGATACAGCCTGGCATAAAAGGGGATTTGACAGTCTTACATGTAAGTATATTAAGAAATCTGAGGCATTATTTTGTTATTATTACAAACGGTAGAAATGTGAGGTGAAAGGCTATATGTTCCATCGTAGCACCTTAGTCCTCTGGGCCAACGAGGCCCACCCTCACCTTTATACTGACATTTCAAATGTGTAATTTTCCATAAAATCCCCACAAGTACACATTCTTGAATAGTATTGCCATATATTATCGTAAAGGACAATTTTTCGCAAGTTGAGAATACAGGGGGAAAATCCAAGTGCTTTATGAGAGAAGAGATTTTCTGTATTTGAAGTAAATATATGTAATTATCACATGCTCATCCTCTGCTATAATATTATAACATTTCCAGGGTGAAACGACGCACGTCGCTTGGTTGTTTTTTTTTGTGAACTGCTGCAGGCAAGGCCAATGTCAGAGGTCGAGGTCATTGTCAAAACACAGGGAAGTATTAATTTTTTACACGTTACCGGGTAATCACTCATTATACTAAGTCATTATATTTATTATTTTCGAGTTGTTGAGGCTTGGTTCTTTGTGGCATAATATTTGGTCAAACAGATTGGTTGGTTTGTTGTTTTAACGCCGCACTCAGCAATATTCCAGCTATATGACGGCGGTCTGTAAATAATCGAGTCTGGACCAGACAATCCAGTGATTAATATCTTGAGCATCGATCCACGCAATTGGGGTCGATGTCATGCATCAACCAAGTCAGCGAGCCTGACCACCCGATCCCGTTAGTCGCCTTTTACGACAAGCATAGTCGCCCTTTACGGCAAGCATGGGTTGCTGAAGACCTATTCTACCCCGGATCTTCATGGGTAGGTTTTCGATGTAGAGCATCGTCAACTGTATATTTAAACTCTATAAAATGAATGTGAATGGAACGCTCAGCTTTTGGTTTCAGATGTTAAATGCAGTGCAGCATAGCATCCCTGGGTTGTTTGATCCATACTCTCAATGACCGACAATGACATATGGCTGGGATATTGCGGAGTGTGGCGTTAAAGAACCAAAAAGCAAATGCAGGAGGGAGAAACTGTGCTGTCCAACGTTTGCAGACGTTAGTGTACGTGTTAAAGGTGGTGATGATTATCCCTGTTTGCTTATGGAGGAAGAATGACACTTCGTGGATGGATATCAATTTTATTCAAAATTTGAATGAAAAGTAAAGTATCAAGGCGACAAAAGGAGATAAGTTTGTACAATATATTAAGCGGATGGGGATTATATTACTTGGTTAAGGGCAAGAAAATTGTCTCCATTGCTTTCGAATTCACACCGAGTGGTAAACCTTTCATTCAACGTTAAGCACTGATTGCTCTGACATATTGGTAACGGCATTAAACCTTACCTCACACTCACTCTTTCAATTTCTCGATGCAATTGTTTGTTGTCAACACAAATTTACAGGTGGAGATCGATGTTTTTGAAAATTTAAGAGTACAGTAAAAAAGAACAAACATGGGCCTCATTTGGGTGATGAGTTGAAAAAAATGAAGACACCCGTGAAGATCCGGGGCAGACTAGGTCTTCAGCAACCCATGCTTGTCGTAAGAGGCGACTAACGGGATCGGTGACTTGGTTGATACATGTCATCAATCCCAGTTGCGTGAGCTATTCTATTCTACCCCAGATTTCTACGGGTCCAAGTACAAGAAGATGTGGTTCTGTATGAACTGTCAACTATAAAAAATGCCCATTGTTTTGTTGAAATGTTTAAATGCTGATAAAAATGCAAATATTATAGTGGATGTTGGTTGGTTGGTTGGTTGGTTTGTTGATTAACGCCGCACTCAGCTATATGACGGCGATCTGGAAATAATCGTTTCTGGACCAGACAATCCAGTGATTAATATCATAAGCCTGGATCCACGCAATTTGGATCGATGACATGCATCAACCAAGTCAGCGAGCCTTACCACCCGACCCCGGTTAGTCGCCTTTTACGGTGAGTGAAGTTGTGCGCCGGTTTTAACACTATGCATGCAATAATTGGGTGAGTGAGTTAAAAAAATATAGTCGGTGTTTTTGTTGTTGTTTTTCGCCGCACTCCGCAATATTCCAGCTTTATGACGATGGTCTGTAATTAATCGAGTCAGGACCAGACAATCCAGTGATTGATATCATCATGAGCATCGATCCACACGATTCGGATACGATGACATGCACAAACCAAGTCAGCGAGACGAGCCTGACCACCTGATCCCGTTAGCTTCTGATAATGTAGAGCTGTGTAAGGGCATCTTACTTGATCTACCTGAAATCTGCCTAACCTCAAAGTCACGAACTTGCAAAAGCAATATTTTTCTGGCATCGCCGTAATTGTTCTCTTGATACACAAAAGTACTTGACATGCTACAAGTGACCTCTCCTTTCCGACTTTTAAGCACAATTACGAATTACCTGGTGATACGTGGTGCTACTGACAGCCGAGCTCGCTGATGCATCATACCAAGCTGTTTTGCTCAAGTAGCAAGTCTTTGACTGATGCTGATAGTCCGCGGTAATACAAGTGAAACCCGATTCCGCCTGGCACAGACTGATACACGCGTCAATTGTTTGAATGGAGTCGACGGTCCTGTCGTTGTAACCATTCAGGACTTTGTCGTGAAAGATGGTGAAGCCTGATCCATATCCAGATCCGCCGCAATCTGAAATGTGAAGAAAATCATTTCATGTGAGTGAGGCATGAATAAAGTTGTTATTAAAGAGGTCATTGTAATTAGAGCACAGCCGTCACATTAGGATCAAGGGGCTCTTACTGTTGGACTTGCTTGATGTTCGTCATCGTGCTCAATCAGCGTGAATATCTGCTCTTTTCAACAAATATTACAAGTTTGAATGTATCTGAGCCAGGCAAAACAGCACCTTTTGGGAGCAATTACAATCAGTTTGAATCAGTTCATATACTGCGACCCGTGAAGATCCGGGCTGGAATAGGTCCTCAGCAACCCATTCTTGCCGTGAAAGACGACTCGGCTTGTCGTGTAGGAGGCGACTAACGGGATCGGGTGATCAGGCTCGGTGACTTTGTTGATGCATGTCATCGTCTCCCAGTTGCTCACGGTGTCAATCACTGGATTGTCTAGTCCAGACTCGATTATTTACAGACCGCCGTTTTATAGCTGCAATATTACTGAGTGCGGCGTTAAACACTAAACTACTATCAAAGTTCACACATTGCAACTGTACACACACTCTATCCTAAATTAGTGGATTCTTCACACAATGGGCTTGGATCTGCTTTGTTTTGAAATCCCCACTGAGTTGCTCACTTAGGTTCTTATCAGTCACATTTCTTGGCCCTTATTTGCAATGAATACTTACCCTGGACACAACTGCTGCCAAGCTTGACGTACATTATGCTACACACACAATAACCGTTGTTGCAGACCACGTTCGTCCCAGAACAAGTGGAGCTGCAAGTTCCAAAATGTGGTGGAGGTGCTGAAAATACGATAATCAATATACCAGAAAAGCAAAGACTTTATATTTGAACAGATATTATTTATTTGAGATAATATATAAAAGAGATTATTAATGTGAGCTTGATCATGGATCATTTGTTTGATTTGACTTGTTGAAGACATACCATTTGATATTTTGGAGCAACCTGGGTTTTTTAGTGTGTAAAAACAGATTACCCCAGGTATAATGAAATAAATAATTTGTTTGCAGTTAAAGGCGCCTATGATTGTCGTAAGAGGCGACTAACGGGATCGGGTGGTCAGGCACGCTGATTTGGTTGATGCATGTCATCGTATGCCAGTGTGTGAATCGATACTCATGATATCAAACACAGGATTGTCTGGTCAAGACTCGGTTATTTACAGACCGCCGTCAAAGAGCTGCAAACATTTTGTTGAAAGAACATGCACGATGTTTTTGGTTGGTAGGTTTGTTGTTTAACGCCGCACTCGGCAATATTACAGGAATATGACGGCGGTCTGTAAATAATCGAGTCTGAACCAGACAATCCAGTGATTGACATCATGAGCATCGATCCACGTTATTGGGATCGATGGCATCATCAACCAAGTCAGCGAGCCTGACCACCCGATCCCGTTAGTCGCCTTTTGCGATAAGCATAGTCGATTTTTCCGGCAAGCATGGGTTGCTGAAGACCTATTCTACCCCGGAATCTTTACGGATGTCTGAAAAATGAGATGGGTACAAAATTTGTTTTGACTTCCCCATTTTGGGAATGAGAAGTACTTTTAGAGAGGTTGACCGAAAGGTATTAATTATGCCCGTAATAATAACACATCAACCATCCACCCAACAGAAAGTTAAATATTCGGTCCCTTATGTCTGATGTTGTATTTTTAGTTTCTAAACTGTCGGGAAATCAACGTTTATTGGAAAGCTTCACCAAAACACATGGATCCTGCTTTGATGTTTCATTTAAATGTAGTTATACTTCAAAAAAAAATGTTGGAACTAACGAGTACAGGTTGTGTACCTACAGGTGCAAGAGGGCAGACCACAGTTGACGTTAGATGTTTGTGTGCGACTTTCGGTGCAGTCAGATCCACCATTAGACGGAGTGGGGTTCGTACAGGTTCGAGTCCGGGTTTTGGTCACTGTCAGAGTTGGGCCACAGGTTTGTGAGCATGATCCACTCCATGAGCCCCAGCTGCTGATACCGCCGTTCACTGAAATGTATTTTAGTGGCTTTTACAATAGGACCTTTTAAAATCAAGCATAACATTTATGTAAATATACCCAACAACAAAAGTTCCTGTGACACCAATATTTTAGTGTATTTTTCAAACAAGTAAAGTTTGGCTTTCAATAATGTAGTACACATGTATGGAATCAAGTCACAAAAACGAAACTGCTACAGAAAAGGATGCATTCCATGGAAAATATTACTTTTATGCAAGCCCCATGCATTTCACTACCCGAGAATGGGTACAAAAACATGTGCGTTAACGGGATTCCATATGCATTGTTTAGCATCGTGCTGACCACTCAGAAAAACAACAAAATTACGCAATTATTCAACTTTACACGAAATGCCACGCCCGTCCCAAAATGAGCGTCTGCGAGCCATTTGTATGAAGCAGGATCGAGTCAACGTGATGTTGCAAGACAATTTAACGTCCAGAGAAACACCATTTGGTTTTTATGGCAACGTTGGCAACAGACGAATGAAGGTTGGTTGGTTAACGCCGCACTCAGCAATATTCCAGCTATATGATGGCGGTCCGAAATAATCGAGTCTGGACCAGACAATCCAGTGATTGATATCATGAGCATCGATCCACGCAATTGAGATCGATGACATGCATCAACCAAGTCAGCGAGCCTGACCACCCGATCCCGTTAGTCGCCTTTTACGACATGCATAGTCACCTTTAACGGCAAGCGTGGGTTGCTGCATGAAGACCTATTCTTCCCCGGAATCTTTACGGGCAGGCCACGTGTAACCAATAAACCACAAGACAACTGGATTCGAACAACACACCTAAGAAATCGATTCCAGCCAGCAACAGTGACTGCAAGAAGCATTCCTGGCCTTCGATGAATATCTTCACAAACCGTACGTCCTCGCCTCAGATGTGCAGGGATTGTCGCCAGAAGACCCGCCAGGTGTTCCATTGTGACATGAACCACCGTCAAGCACGTCTAAAGTGGTGCAGACAGCGTCTACGCTGGACGGCCATGCAGTGGGGGACAAGTTCTATTCACTCACGAGTTTTCACCTCAGCCACAGCGATGGACGGATTCGAGCGTACCGACGTCGAGGTGAGCGTTACGTCAATCATTGTGTCATGGAAGAAGATTGGTTAGGGGGCGGCAGCGTTATGGTATGTGGTGGGATTACAGCAAGACAGAGGACCCGTTTGAAATTGGTAGCGGGAAATCTCAATGGACAGCGCTACCGCGACGAGATCATCTGCCCTGTTGTTCAACCGGTTTGGCGTCGTCATGGCCGAGGCATTACCTTTCAACATGACAACGCCCAGCCTCATATTGCCCGACTTGTTCAGGATTCTCTTCGACAAAACTACATGAATGTCATCCCCTGGCCGGCTCGCTCCCCTGATCTCTCACCAATCGAGCACATGTGGGATGAGATGGATCGGCGCCTTCGACGTCAACCACGTGTTCCACAGACACTCCAGGAACTTCGAAACATGCTCGAGCAGATACGGACAGATATCCCAATTGCGTGAATCATGTACCCGTGAAGATTCCTGGGTAGAATAGGTCTTCAGCAACCCAAAATTGCGGTAAAAGGCGAAAAACGGGATCGGGTAGTCAAGCTCGCTGACTTGGTTGATACATGTCATGGTATCCCAATTGCCTGGATCGATGCTCATGATGTCAATCACTGGATTGTCTGGTCCAGACTCGATCATTTTACAGACCGCCGTCATATAGCTGGAATATTGCTGAGTGCGGCGTTTCACAACAAACAGACAAACACAATCATGATATCAATCAATTATTTACAGAAAACTGAATACAGTCATGCCCCGTTGATACGGACTTCAGATATCCGGAAACCTCGGTTGCCAGACGATTTTCATTCAAACCGAAATAATTACTATATAAATTTACCCGTATATACGAAAATTCAGTGTCCGGTTCCGGATAGTCATTTTCATACACAAAACACTGAAATGCACACAAATTTGTCTCACTTACCCGGGCAATACACTTCCGCTGGTGGTAAGCCTTTGATTCGTGAGAAGTCAATTAACCAAGAGACATTGAGTTACGTTTGAGACGAGCTCGTTTATTGTACATGACCAAGACGAGCAGCCCCTCCAACCCACTACAGTCACTCACAAGGAAGCTTGTGCTTGTATAGAGACCATGATTGCTGAATCCGATGTTAAGTAACAAACAAAGAAACATACCTGGGCACGAAGAGAAACCACAGTTCTCACTGGTCGTGCTGGAGAGCGTCTCCGAACAGTCCGCGCCCCCGTAAGCTGGAGCAGGGTTGTTGCAGGTTCGGGTTCGTGTCCTGGTTCCTGTTGCTGTGGTGCCGCAAGTCAGTGAACATACCAATGTGCCCCACGCACCCCAAGCGCTGACGCCTCCGTCAACTGAAAAATATATCGAAAGACCTGTTAATAATAATCGATTTATTTGGAAATGTCCGCTGATCCGGGTTCTTGTCCGTTATTCTGTAGTTTCGATAATCTTTTCTTATTAGTAATTGCAATGACAACCTTACCTGGGCACGAAGAGAAACCACAGTTTTCACTTGTGGTACTGGAGAGAGTCTCCGAACAGTCCGCTCCTCCGTAAGCTGGAGCAGGATTGGTGCAGGTTCGGGTTCGTGTCCTGGTTCCTGTTGCTGTGGTGCCGCAAGTCTGTGAACATAACAAAGTGCCCCACGCCCCCCAAGCGCTGACACCTCCGTCAACTGAAAAAACATAGATATCAAAAGACATGTTAATGATAATCGAATTATTTGGAAATGTCCGCAGATCGGGGTTCTTGTCCGTTATTCTGTAGTTTCGATAATCTTTTCTTATTAGTAATTGCAATGACAACATTACCTTGGCACGAAGAGAAACCACAGTTTTCACTTGTGGTGCTGGAGAGAGTCTCCGAACAGTCCGCTCCTCCGTAAGCTGGAGCAGGATTGGTGCAGGTTCGGGTTCGTGTCCTGGTTCCTGTAGCTGTGGTGCCGCAAGTCTGTGAACATACCAACGTGCCCCACGCACCCCAAGCGCTGACACCTCCGTCAACTGGAAATCATGTATAAAGGTTTTGTTATGGTTGACATGAAGGACGATCACGAGTGTCATGGTTTGTTCGTTTGTTTGTTGTTTAACGCCCCACTCAGCAATATTCCAGCTATATGACGGTCTGTAAATAATAGAGTCTGGACCAGACAATCCAGTGACTGACATCATGAGCATCGATCCTCGCAATTGGGATCGATGACATGTATCAACCAAGTCAGCGAGCCTGACCAACCGATCCCGTTAGTCGCCTTTTACGACAAGCATAGTCGCCTTTTACGGCAAGCATGGGTTGCTGAAGACCAATTCTACCCCGGAATTTACCAATTCTACCCCGGAATTTATCCATGTCCAAGAGTTGTGTAAAGTTATCACTCACATTAACCATCTTGGAGGACAAATCTTGTTCAGCCTGTTTTTCAACATGTTTTTGTTATGTTTGTGATAATGTTTGTGAACTACTTGCAAGTCTCTGATCAGCCAAAACACTGTGTCTGACAAGAGCATTTCGCTGGTATGTCTTACACCCTCATGTGAAAGTGTTTGACATACGTATACCAGCCTTTTCACATGCCCTACAAAACATAACTATGCCATCGTTTGACGATGTTTGTCTCAGCCACAGAAATTCACTTTCCTATTTGTGTAAATAGTCAGGTGATTTGCGAGCTTTTTTATTTCGGAACAATTTGTAGACTCACTAATATCAAAATCGGTGTCTTCACTCAGATCTGCTTCGGTACGAGAGTGCTAGGCGACACAAACCGTAACAAAGAGGACTGTTTTGACATCGTGAATCTGTTTACGTGTGTGTCATTTGTTCAAACGTTCAAACTATTCGTTAACCAATCAACGCTCCCGTTACAAGGACGCGATTCAAAGCGCCATCTGGCCATATTCTATTTTTAGCAATGGGAATTTCCAGGTTTTGATATATTTCGTCTGAACATCGTAAGCAGGCTATCAGCTTTGAATAGGTTTTTTTTATTTGATGGTATTAATACAAAATTAAGTATTATCACAATTTTGCACGCAAAATATTTTTTGCGTGTTTATATCATTTCAATGCGTGAAAAAACGCAGGTTTCTGCGTTAACGCGAACACTGCTTGTCTTCTGTCTGTCTTTGATTTTCTTCTTTGAGCGACATGTCTTTGGGGACTTGTGTAAACCAATGAATCAAAATTACCATAGTATCATTGAGGACATTGACATGATCCTCATTGTAATAAGCTTTCTCAAAACTGGCCAACCTATTGTTACCAGACTCTCTTCAGAAAACTGCTTACATTGACAATTTCCTTTTCAGTATTATCCTCAGTATTATCATCTGTATCCCCATCTTCTTCCGAACTGTCAGATGTATCATCCTGACCTTCATCCCCTCAATCCAGGATGTCGTCATCCTCATTAAAGTAGTCCTCAAGAGCAAAGGCAATATCACAGCTACTTACAGAAATATCCCCGTAACTGTTCAGATTGTCGGCAATATGGGAAGCACTCATATGCTCTACTACAAGTACTGATTATAGAGTCGACCAGGGAACTCAGCTGAATGCACACCAAATGACTCCATGTGTGAAAACAGCACTCTTCAATGTAATTATGATCTGCCAAGGAAGAACGAAAACGCACTCTGAACTTGTCTTTACCAGAATGCCACCATTCTTGCAAGAGTTCTTAACATGTAAACTTACACCCATCTGAAAGAGCACACTTCCTGGCAATTTCACACAAAACATCACACGTCATGTGAGTAAATACAGTATTAAGTGTCTCTAGTTTAGGCAATACTGACAGCCATATTAATTCATCTGACGCTTCACCCATACACTTTTCTAGCAACACCAGTTGCAAGTTTTGTTGCGGTTGTAGGAAGACTAATTTGCTAATACGACATCAATTAATGCTCAACTAATGGAGATGTCCAGCTTTCGTGAGGCATGATTCGAACAGATTATCAATGTCATCGGGTGTGTATCTTTGGGCACCTTCATTGAACATTTATGTTCTAAATGATAGAGTTACTAAATGCTAATTCTACTTTGAGTTTACCAGGCAAATTGCAGTATCTCCATAAAATGTGATTGGTATTCACAAGGCAGTGTATTTTCTTGCAGACAGAAGACACTGTTTTCACATCACTGTGGTCATAAATTCCTTGGTAAAATAATTAAAGAACAATCGTATCTGCTTGTTACTTGGAACTTAAGCCTCAAATAAAAGCACAAACACAAAAGTAAAAAAATAGCAGAGTTATTTCCCCTCCCGACATGTGATCCATTTAGCTTGAGCTTAAATGAAATTACAACCTAACGAAAATGAAACTGTTATAATAATATTTCACATGTGAGTAAAGATATTATTCGCAATTACATGTTAGTATTCATAAACATCACTCTACCATTTGCGATATAACAGTGCAACGTCGATTTTGCTAATACGACATCATGACCGACTTGTAGTACCACTTTGTTTTTAAATTCATTATGTATGAATTGTCATTTCTTAACTTCAAAACTGATCCGGGGTTGAATAGGTCTTCAGCAAACCCATGCTTGCTGTTAAAAGGCGACTATGCATGTCGTAAGAGGCGACTAATGGGATCGGGTGGTCAGGCTCGCCGACTTGGTTGATGAATGATATTAATCACTGGATTGTCTGGTTCAGACTCGATTATAGCGGGAATATTGCTCGGCGGTCTGAGAAATAATCGTGTCGCCTTTATGAAATTTTTTGCTTTACGTGTATTTTTAGTGTCTGGTTTGTGTTGACTCCTTAATAGTAATAATTTATGGTTTAATTTAGTCAAGAAGTTTAACTTAAGCTTCAGGTCCATCTGATATCGTTCAATAACGATCAAATAGCTTCCACTGATTTACCCACCTGAACTAGAAAAAAGTAGACCAGTTAGACCGCCTCATCTCTTTCATATTTAGATCTATGCATAAAGATTCAGAGTGACAACACACTCTCCACAAGACTGTATAACAAGAGGGATGGCTTTAACTTTCCTGTAGTCACCTTACCCTTCATGTCGAGCAGATCCAGCCTTTGATGTTTACATTTAACAACTTTTGAGATACAATCGAGCATGCTCTTTCTTCAAAGATTTCAAAGGGCGACTCTTGCTCAGAAGTTCCCAATGATGTCCGATGCAATTCACTATTATGACTTGAACCATTAGTTTCCGTGTGGTTTTTTTCAGGTGAACAATTGACTTGCCTTTGCATTTCTTTGAACCGGTGGGGCAGGAAATGCTCACCTTGTCGCGAACACATGGTATCATCTCAATTTGATTGTTATTCATAAACGCATAATGCTCATGATATAGTCAAAATTGTACGATGGAGGTTTCTATTAAATATGGAAAGGGTTTTGTCACCATTTATATTTACGACAATGACACAAAGTTCATTTTGGAATGTAACGACTAATTCATTGTTAACGTTACACCTGAAATTTCATATGTGTATGTTGAAAATGAACCAAATACTTCAGGGATATTATATTTATTTATCACAAAAAAATAATACATTTGTATGTATTTTCCGACATGATATTTAAACGATAAATTCATAGGTTTAACTCATTTAAGGGCCCCGTGAAGTTCCGTATTTTAATAGGTCGTCAGCAACCCATGCGTGCTGTAAAAGGCGACTATGCTTGTCGTAAAAGGCGATAAACGGGATCGGGTGGTCAGGCTCGAATGCGTGGATCGATGCTCATGATATTAATCAATGGATTGTCTGGTCCAGCCTCGATTGTTTAGACCGCCGTCATATAGCTGGAATATTGCTAAGAGCGGCGTTAACAAACCAACCAACCAACCAACAAGTTGCGTGGATCGATGCTCATGATATTAATCACTGGATTGTCTGGTCCAGACTCGATTGTTTAGACCGCCGTCATATAGCTGGAATATTGCTGAGGCGGCGTTAAACAACAAACCAACCAACCAATCATTTATGGGCAAATTGGGATACATGTTCACCGTGGAAATCGTGAAACAAACTTTCAAATAATGTTTTTGGTTTCACAGCATTGACATAGTCGGTTAGGGTAATGATTGATTTTTTACAGTGTGAAATTTGATGAATTGTGGGTTTTACCGTAGTTACGTTACGTCGTCTTTAGACGAAAGTATGTAGATTGTAAAACCTCACTTTCAAATGGACCCGACACAACGAAAGTTAACAGGCTAATTTTATGTGAGTGAGTGAGTATCACGGCGGGGGACACCAGAAACGGGCTTCACACATTGTATTCATGACGGGAATCGAACCCAGGTCTTCGGCGTGACGAGCGAACACTTTAACCTCTAGGCTACCCGGCCGCCCCTATAATTTTATGTGACCCCCAGTTAGTTAAAGCATATATCGACATGGAACTGCCCCTAACTTATAGATGCTTCCCAATAGTAGTCAGGCTGTGAAAATGGATAAACACATTCTTGCAAGCTCTAGTTTTCCACAAAATACGTGAAAAAACCCAACCATGTTGAAAACAACACAAATAACCCGAATCGTAAATGAACGGTATGCTGTGGCATTGTCACAGGGGAAGATCTCAAAGGGAAAGGCAGGCCAATTTCAATATCTATCAATTGTTAATGCCAGCAGTGTTCATCCATCAGTTACTGAGGGAATATACTTTATGGTATTCTTCCGTGAAGGTGTTATGTACTTTATGGAAACACACGAGGGAATTTCATGGTCATATAATGTGATGTTGTTAAGAGCTGTAGCAGAAGCAGCTCAATTGCTGTTTTTTTTGTGAATGTTCCAGAACCTTCTATCATGAATAATTCTGACTTTACTAAATCACCTGAACTCACTGATTATATCTGCATTCGCCATTCATATGTTGAAGTCATCACGCTACGCTAAGCATAAGTGGTGAGCACTCCTGGCTTAATAAATTAAGCATGGTTTCCATTATGGAAAAACACAAGCCCAATGCAGGACAACTCTGTTAACTCATTTTATCTGTAATGGCCTTAAG